CTACCAACTTTCAGTTCAATCGGCCTAGCAGAACTTGACTTTAAGTTTGAAATAGTTTTTCAAAATGGCGCCCGTGGCGGCCAAATTGGATTTCTGATTGACCTGAAAAATAACAACACCTTGTCAGGACCATAAGTAGTTGATTACTACCAACTTTCAGTTCAATCGGCCTAGCAGAACTTGACTTTCAAGTTTGAAATAGTTTTTAAAAATGGCGCCCGTGGCGGCCATATTGGATTTCTGATTGACCTGAAAAATAACAACACTTTGTCAGGACCATAAGCTGATCATTCCTACTAACTTTCAGTTCAATCGGCCTAGCAGAACTTGACTTTCAAGTTTGAAATAGTTTTTAAAAATGGCGCCCGTGGCGGCCATATTGGATTTCTGATTGACCTGAAAAATAACACCACTTTGTCAGGACCATAAGCTGATCATTCCTACTAACTTTCAGTTCAATCGGTCTAGCAGAACTTGACTTTACGTGTGAAATAGTTTTTCAAAATGGCGCCCGTGGCGGCCCTATTGGATTTCTGATTGACCTGAAAAATAACACCACTTTGTCAGGACCATGAGTTGATCATTCTTACCAACTTTCAGTTCAGTCGGCCCAGCAGAACTTGTCTTTAAGTTTGAAATAGTTTTTAAAAATGGCGCCCGTGGCGGTCATATTGGATTTCTGATTTACCTGAAAAATAACACCACTTTGTCAGGACCATAAGCTGATCATTCCTACTAACTTTCAGTTCAATCGGCCCAGCGGAACTTGACTTTAAGTTTGAAACGTAAAATGTTAACGGACGACGGACGATGGACGACGGACGACGACGGACGAAAACGGATAGCAATAGGTCACTTTAGCTAAAGCTCAGGTGACCTAAAAAGGGGTGTCTCATTGCTTTATAAGTCATACAATATTACTGTTTCATAAATCATCTTTGCAAATATAACTGTTCTAAATTTTGTCTTGCAATAAAAAGATTAAGGAGCACAGTAGAAAATATTTAGAATATAAGTGAATACTTAAATACTTCAGGAAAGTAGCAGGAACCCGTTTAAAAGTATTATCTGAATAAAATGATTGACACATGTTCGTAAACGTGCAGGTAATCAAAATTCCACTTACACGTCCCAGTTGTTGATGTCACTTACTAGAATATGATGTCATTTACCATGTGTTGATGTCACTTAACATGTGTTGATGTCACTTACCATGTGTTGATGTCATTTACCATGTGTTGATGTCAACCCCGGATGTCACTTATCAGTTGAAAATGTCATTTACCAGTTGATTATATCACTTACCATGTGTTGATGTCATTTACCATGTGTTGATTGCATTTATCATGCGTTGATATCACTTACCAGTTGTTAATGTCACTTACCAGTTGATGATATCACTTACCAATTGATGATATCACTTACCATGTGTTGATGTCACTTACTAGTTGATGATATCACTTACTAGTTGATGATATCACTTACTAGCTGATGATATCACTTACTATGTGTTGATGTCACTTACCATGTGTTGATGTAACTTAATAGTTGTTGATGTTATTTTAAGGTTGTTGATGTCACATACCATTTGTTGATATCCTTTACCTATTGTTGATGTCACTTACCATGTGTTGATCTCACTTACCATGTGTTGATGTCACTTACTAGTTGATGATATCACTTACCATGTGTTGATGTCACTTACCATGTGTTGATTTCACTTACCATGTGTTGATGTCACTTAATAGTTGTTGATGTTATTTTAAGGTTGTTGATGTCACATACCATTTGTTGATATCCTTTACCTATTGTTGATGTCACTTACCATGTGTTGATGTAACTTACCAGTTGTTGATGTTGCTTACCAGATTTTGGTATTGCTTACCAGGTGAAGATGTCACTTACCAAGTGAAGATGTCCCCAGATTGGATGACGCTTTCCAATTGACAAAAAGTTCCCAGATGAAAATAAGGCACTGTTTACTCTATGTGTTCTGACTATGGCACTGCCCTTCCACAGCAAGAGGATGAAAAATACAGTACCAAGTATTAGAACGGAGAAGTCCATGATGAAATGATCTGAAACATTTAATGTATTGTACATATATAGTTAGTGATGTACATATATGCCACGTAAATGTGACACGTTCCTTTTATATAAATGTGTATAGCAAAGAAAACTGTTAAATACATTGTTTATTAAGTGGTACCGTAATCATTTGTCAATTCATTAAAGCATGTTTGCAAAGCCAGATGCCTGTTTCACAAACGCTACTTAATTATTGAATTTGGGACCAGGAGTTTGCATTCACTTGAACCATTATATACTAGTAGCCGTAAGGGAGATAACTCTAACATAGTTTAGGGTATGGTATGTTGTAACAACTTAACACCCCTGTTACATAATAACGGAGAGAACCAGGCTTTACGTGTAATATTTGAAGTCGATCGCTTAGATCAAAATAGAAACAGAAAGTTTCGACGTTTAATGTAAGGTTTCTCATTTGGAGTTATGTGAAGTTTAAGAACGCTGCCTCCGTTTCTTTTCATTATTTATCATGACAACTTTTTAACGGAGCAACACATTTTATGAAAATGCAATTTGTGATTTTATTCTATTACGTGGACATATTTTTTAAACTTGAAAAATACTTGGTTCTCGTATACTCATATACAAGCAAATTGTACAAGATTACAACGAATACACGAGACGATGGAGAACGACAGTGAAGTGTTGGATGGTGATTCTGAGTCAGACGGCGATTCCGAAGACAGAGCTAGGGACCGGTGCATTAATATCAGGCGTGGAAAATAGCGCACAAAAGAAAAGAAGCGTCATCATGTGTCCCCTGACGTGTTAGTATATATGATGAGTAGTAAGAGAGAGTTCCCGAGTATTAATTGCTAACTATTTCTGTATATACACCACGTATACAGGTGTACAGGTTAGAGTATAAAGAAGGTATGACCTATCTACTCGCTGCTTAGTTAGATACGTGAATGGTCAGACACATAAGCAGTGCTTTAAATTCAGGTCACACACTTGTGTATATAAATACTTCGGATCGTACCAGTTTGTACACAAATCATCACAAACCTGTTAACCGCCTGCTACAGGGTCAGCGTTGACGTCTTGTCCGGTTTATATGTACATGGACTTTTGAGTTAAGTGTATGGAAGCGTATACTTGGTTTTATCCAGATCCTTAAATAGTTCACTTCCGGGTCAGAGCCACAAGAAACATATGTACACGCGGTTATTGCCTAACTGGTGCTTTTTACACGTGATGTGATGACGTGACACGGGTGTCATGAGTTTACGATCGATAGACGAGTTGTATCTTAATTAACTGTGACAGGATAATCAGCTGATCAGCGGCTTTCTATGTCTAAATATAGATCACGGGGATCACCTTGATGAAAAACGGACGTTAACAATGCTTTAGAATATTTAATGCATGCACAGTGTATGTGTTAATACCTCGGTGAGATAACCAGACTCTAAACTTGGTCCAGGAGGGTATTCATGTCACGTGCAGTAGAGGTAGAATTTTCTAGCATTGTAAGCTTAATAGAGGGTTTAAAAGCAAATTACAAAACAATCGTAAGCGAGTTGATGATCTGATATATACTGATGTATTTGACAGACTTTTGCTTAAAATCTTAAACTGGTTCAATTTGATGTTTTACATATATAATGTTGTCGCTATTTTTAGCTCACTTCGTCCGTCGACTGTCGTCTATCGTCCGCCAACTTTTTACATTTTAATCTTCTCCCGGGCCAATTAGGACCAAACTTGACATGGAACATGACTAGGACATGGGGATCTGAATTTATGAAATGTATGGGGCTACGCCCCCAGAGGCCTGAAAGGCGCGGGGCCAAAAGGGCAAAAAATAGAGTCACCTTTACAAATCTTCTTCTCTACTCCTACAAGTAGTAGAGAGTAATTACACATTTAATTATAATCATCAACTAGCCCTCTTTTGAATTTATGAAATGTATGGCCCTGGTTTCAAGGACTCAAGAGGTAGGCGGGGTCAATATTGTGTACTTGTTATGTAATTATGTATTTATATATTAAATTTCCTTCTTCAAAACTACTGGGCCAATTTTGACCAAATTCGACTTGGAACATCATTATATATATAGGACATGGGGATCTGACTTTATGAAACGTATGGGGTTGCACCACCAGGGGCCTGAGAGGAGGGGCCAAATACATGTAGGTACAAAATGGGTTAATCTTTAAAAATGTTCTTCTCTACTCCTTCGAGTAGCAGAGAGTAATTACACATTCAATTATAATCATCAACTAGCTCTTCTTTGAATTTATGAAATGTATGGCCCTGGGGTCAAGGGGTCAAGTGGTAGGTTGGGGTCAATATTGTATGTTATGGATCGTTATATCTTTGAAACCGTTGAGATACTCACCCTAAGGACTTAGTTTCTGGGTTATATCTTTAAAACAGATGAGATCCCCACCCCATACCTATATATAGCATTGCTGGACATCAAGAGATAAACACAATCGCAATTTAAAAATAGGCCATGGTGTCTTTCCTTATCCCTAGGGACTTAGTTTCTGGGTTATATCTTTGAAACAGTTGAGATCCCCACCCCATAACCATATATACATGTAGCATCGCTGGGCATCAAGAGATAAACACAAGCATGATGTAAAAATAGGCCCTGGGTTATTTATCCACCCCTAAAGACTTAGTTTATATCTTTGAAACAGTTGATATCCCCACCCCATAACAAGATATATACAATTGCTGAATATAAAGAAATGAATGCACACACCCTTCGAGGATGGCCTCGGGGTCTGACCCACCATTGGAGACTTAACCCCCGGGTCATAACTTTTAAATGGTTATAGTCCCCACCCCAAAACTACATACACATGCTGGGCATATAAAGACGAATGTAGTCATGATAATAGAATTGACCCCAGAGTCTGCCCTACCCTTGCAGACTTGACTCCTGGGTCATAACTTTAAAATGGTTATGATCCCCACCCCAAAACTATATTTACAAATGCTGGGCACAAAGAGACGAATGCAGTCATGATATTAGAATAGATCCTGGGGTTAGACGGCGATTCCGAAGACAGAGCTAGGGACCGGTACAATATATCAGGCGTGGAAAATAGCGCACAAAAGAAAAGAAGCGTCATCATACAATGTCGCTTGCCCCTTTTGGGACCCCATACACATGATCGAGTCCACATCAGCCAACTTTACGTCTATAGCTAAACGTTGATCGATTGTTGAGTGTGCGCCACAATGATATTTCCTATGTGTCATTTGACGTGTTAGTATATATGATGAGTAGTAAGAGAGAGTTCCCGAGTATTAATTGCTAACTATTTCTGTATATACACATACCGTAGACACCACGTATACAGGTGTACAGGGTATAAAGGTATGACCTATCTACTCGCTGCTTAGTTAGATACATGAATGGTCACACACATAAGCAGTGCTTTACACATACTTCGGATCGTACCAGTGCTCGTATGTATTTGTACACAAATCATCACATACCTGTTAACCGCCTGCTACAGGGTCAGCGTGGGCCTCTTGTCCGTTTCATATGTACATGGACTTTGGAGTTAATTGTTTGGAAGCGTATACTAAGTTTTATCCAGATCCTTAAATAGTTCAGTTCCTACACACGGTAATTGCCTAACTGGTGTTTTACACGTGATAGGGTGTCATGAGTTAACGATCGATAGACGAGTTCTATTTTAACTGTGACAGGATAAACAGCTGATCAGCGGCTTTCTATGTCTAAATATAGATCACGCGGAAAAAAGGACGTTAACAATGCTTTAGAATAGTTAATACATGCACAGTGTATGTGTTAATACCTCGGTGAGATAACCAGACTCTAAACTTTGTCCGGGAAGGTATTCATGTCACCTGCAGTAGAGGTAGATTTTTCTAGCATTGTAAGCTTAATAGAGGGTTTAAAAGCAAATTACAAAACAATCGTAAGCGAGTTGATGATCTGATATATACTGATGTATTTGACAGACTTTTGCTTAAAATCTTAAACTGGTTCAATTTTATGTTTTACATATATAATGTTGTCGCCATTTTTAGCTCACTTCGTCCGTCGACTGTCGTCTATCGTCCGCCAACTTTTTACATTTTAATCTTCTCCTTCAAAACTACCGGACCAATTAGGACTAAACTTGACACACAATCATAATGTAAAAATAGGCACTGTGTCTTTCCTTATCCCTAGGGACTTAGTTTATAGGTCATATCTTGAAACAGTTGCACCCCTAAAGACTTAGTTTATATCTTTGAAACAGTTGATATCCCCACCCCAATAAACACAAGCATGATGTAAAAATAGGCCCTGGGTTATTTATCCACCCCTAAAGACTTAGTTTATATCTTTGAAACAGTTGATATCCCCACCCCATAACAAGATATATACAATTGCTGAATATAAAGAAATGAATGCACATACCCTTCGAGGATGGCCTTGGGGTCTGACCCACCATTGGAGACTTAACCCCTGGGTCATAACTTTCAAATGGTTATGATCCCCACCCCAAAACTATATATACACATGCTGGGCATAAAGAGACGAATGTAGTCATGATAACAGAACTCACCCCAGAGTCTGCCCCACCCTTGCAGACTTGACTCCTGGGTCATAACTTTAAAATGGTTATGAACCCCACCCCAAAACTATATATACAACTGCTGGGCACAAAGAGACGAATGCAGTTATGATATTAGAATAGATCCTGGGGTCTGTCCACAACCCTCGGGACCTAGTTTCTGTTTCAAAGCTTGGAAACAGTTGAGATCCCCACCCCATAACCATACATAAAACTGCTAGGCGTGAAAGATATAATACAGATTGCTACAAGGACTTGGATCTCATTTGGAGAATATTTTGCCATAATTGCTTCGATATCCAGGTGAGCGATACAGGCCCTCTGGACCTCTTGTTTGAATGAACAAGCCTGTATATTGACTAGTTTCCTTGTCAAGTCTGTCTCAGCAAGGTAATTTTTAAACCAAGTCTCGTTGTTTTGATTCTCTCTTTTTTCATGTGTTATAACTTTGGTGTATTGTTATACTATTGATACAGAGTGGTATACCTTCAATGCAATGTTAAACTTTCGGTGTAGTGTAATACTATTGATACAGAGTGGTATACCTTCAATACAGTGTTAAACTTTCGGTGTAGTGTTATACTATTGATACAGAGTGGTATACCTTCAATGCAGGGTTAAACTTTCGGTGTAGTGTAATACTATTGATACAGAGTGGTATACCTTCAATGCAGTGTTAAACTTTCGGTGTAGTGTAATACTATTGATACAGAGTGGTATACCTTCAATGCAGTGTTAAACTTTCGGTGTAGTGTAATACTATTGATACAGAGTGGTATACCTTCAATGCAGTGTTAAACTTTCGGTGTAGTGTAATACTATTGATACAGAGTGGTATACCTTCAATGCAGTGTTAAACTTTCGGTGTAGTGTAATACTATTGATACAGAGTGGTATACCTTCAATGCAGTGTTAAACTTTCGGTGTAGTGTAATACTATTGATACAGAGTGGTATACCTTCAATGCAGTGTTAAACTTTCGGTGTAGTGTAATACTATTGATACAGAGTGGTATACCTTCAATGCAGTGTTAAACTTTCGGTGTAGTGTAATACTATTGATACAGAGTGGTATACCTTCAATGCAGTGTTAAACTTTCGGTGTAGTGTAATACTATTGATACAGAGTGGTATACCTTCAATGCAGTGTTAAACTTTCGGTGTAGTGTAATACTATTGATACAGAGTGGTATACCTTCAATGCAGTGTTAAACTTTCGGTGTAGTGTAATACTATTGATACAGAGTGGTATACCTTCAATGCAGTGTTAAACTTTCGGTGTAGTGTAATACTATTGATACAGAGTGGTATACCTTCAATGCAGTGTTAAACTTTCGGTGTAGTGTAATACTATTGATACAGAGTGGTATACCTTCAATGCAGTGTTAAACTTTCGGTGTAGTGTAATACTATTGATACAGAGTGGTATACCTTCAATGCAGTGTTAAACTTTCGGTGTAGTGTAATACTATTGATACAGAGTGGTATACCTTCAATGCAGTGTTAAACTTTCGGTGTAGTGTAATACTATTGATACAGAGTGGTATACCTTCAATGCAGTGTTAAACTTTCGGTGTAGTGTAATACTATTGATACAGAGTGGTATACCTTCAATGCAGTGTTAAACTTTCGGTGTAGTGTAATACTATTGATACAGAGTGGTATACCTTCAATGCAGTGTTAAACTTTCGGTGTAGTGTAATACTATTGATACAGAGTGGTATACCTTCAATGCAGTGTTAAACTTTCGGTGTAGTGTAATACTATTGATACAGAGTGGTATACCTTCAATGCAGTGTTAAACTTTCGGTGTAGTGTAATACTATTGATACAGAGTGGTATACCTTCAATGCAGTGTTAAACTTTCGGTGTAGTGTAATACTATTGATACAGAGTGGTATACCTTCAATGCAGTGTTAAACTTTCGGTGTAGTGTAATACTATTGATACAGAGTGGTATACCTTCAATGCAGTGTTAAACTTTCGGTGTAGTGTAATACTATTGATACAGAGTGGTATACCTTCAATGCAGTGTTAAACTTTCGGTGTAGTGTAATACTATTGATACAGAGTGGTATACCTTCAATGCAGTGTTAAACTTTCGGTGTAGTGTAATACTATTGATACAGAGTGGTATACCTTCAATGCAGTGTTAAACTTTCGGTGTAGTGTAATACTATTGATACAGAGTGGTATACCTTCAATGCAGTGTTAAACTTTCGGTGTAGTGTAATACTATTGATACAGAGTGGTATACCTTCAATGCAGTGTTAAACTTTCGGTGTAGTGTAATACTATTGATACAGAGTGGTATACCTTCAATGCAGTGTTAAACTTTCGGTGTAGTGTAATACTATTGATACAGAGTGGTATACCTTCAATGCAGTGTTAAACTTTCGGTGTAGTGTAATACTATTGATACAGAGTGGTATACCTTCAATGCAGTGTTAAACTTTCGGTGTAGTGTAATACTATTGATACAGAGTGGTATACCTTCAATGCAGTGTTAAACTTTCGGTGTAGTGTAATACTATTGATACAGAGTGGTATACCTTCAATGCAGTGTTAAACTTTCGGTGTAGTGTAATACTATTGATACAGAGTGGTATACCTTCAATGCAGTGTTAAACTTTCGGTGTAGTGTAATACTATTGATACAGAGTGGTATACCTTCAATGCAGTGTTAAACTTTCGGTGTAGTGTAATACTATTGATACAGAGTGGTATACCTTCAATGCAGTGTTAAACTTTCGGTGTAGTGTAATACTATTGATACAGAGTGGTATACCTTCAATGCAGTGTTAAACTTTCGGTGTAGTGTAATACTATTGATACAGAGTGGTATACCTTCAATGCAGTGTTAAACTTTCGGTGTAGTGTAATACTATTGATACAGAGTGGTATACCTTCAATGCAGTGTTAAACTTTCGGTGTAGTGTAATACTATTGATACAGAGTGGTATACCTTCAATGCAGTGTTAAACTTTCGGTGTAGTGTAATACTATTGATACAGAGTGGTATACCTTCAATGCAGTGTTAAACTTTCGGTGTAGTGTAATACTATTGATACAGAGTGGTATACCTTCAATGCAGTGTTAAACTTTCGGTGTAGTGTAATACTATTGATACAGAGTGGTATACCTTTAATGCAGTGTTAAACTTTCGGTGTAGAATAGTTTTTCTCTCTCACCACTAGAGATTTCCTCACTCACCTGTTTACGACACATTTTGTGACAGTTTTGTGTCTGCTTTATTTAAATGTCTTTGTCAATTAAGATCTTCATAAAAAACATCAGATCCGACAGGTTCTACACCTGTGAGTTGTCGTATGATGTAAATGATTACTACGTCGGTAGTATTAGTAGTGGTAACTTGTTCGTATTGTGCAGTTAGAAAACTTCAGCTTTGGGCTCTGGAAAGGACTATGTATGGTTTGGTCGTTTTTGTTGCCAATAATTTCATCATATCATCGAGTCGAAATTCGCATAGAGAAATTTGAATTATAAAAAAAAATATGTAAAATCGTGAATATCAAGCAGTTTTTGAATCCCACTAATCTTTGTAAATTTCAACCAGTTGCCCTGGCAACCATAATTAAAAATACAAATATATATATTTTTATAACAGTATCGGAGAAGTATTCAGATTCATAAAATAAGGAAAATTCATACACGGTTGTTGTAATTTTTGACGATTTTGGGGACCAATATAAGCACAAATAATATACAGACCTTTAAAACTCGTGTATATGAACGAGATCATCTATGCTAGTAATAGAATATTCAATTGTTCAATAAACATTTATTTCATTGTATTGTTGTTGAAACATAAAATTAAATTTAAATCTAACTAAAAAATAACATTGTATTTATATTACGTATTCAAAACAGATGTGACTTCCCTGAGGTATCTTCTTGTCTGATCTTTAATTATTATCTCGTATAAACATGCATTGTTGCATTTAACACATCGCATGAACCGGTTGCTGTCAATAGATAATAAATAAATAAAATAATTGTGTTTTAATACCCTGTTTAGAGGTTTGAAACAAGATGGCCGAAAGCTGGGAATCGAACCCAAATTTTTCTGCATAGCGAGGCTCAAACTTTGTCAGAACACTATAGACCTCACGGTCGGCCGTCCTCGTCTGTAATAGGATACATTTAATTGGGAGTATTATCAGGATAAAGAAAGATATAGTGAACTTCGAGTAAAAAACAATGGAACCTGTCTAATCCAACACATAAACACTTGGACAGCCTGTGTTATCTGTCCTACAGCTGTAAACCTATTTTTCAAATATAATCTACCTAATTAAACGTTTTATTTCTGACAAACTGTGTCTCAAACAGGCGATTTGTTCGACCACAAACGGAAGCTGAAAGGGATGGGGAGTCGGATGAAACAGGCTACACTGTATACACTGAATGTAACATGAGTCGTTTTGGGAATATTATCCCGTAATTGACATCATAATTGTCAATGTTGTTGTCATGGTAACTAGTAAACACTTAGATGATATTGTATATCAACACATCATGACTCTTCCTTCTACTTTCTTTGTTCCAGTTTGACCCAGATACCAGTTTTCGAGCGCAATATCCCTTCATATGACAGTACAGGCGTGTGATCAGTATCCGGAAGCACACGAAATCTGAAAACAATTTATGATAGCTTAAAAAATGTCTGCGGCAAATATGCAGTCTTAGATAGTTTGAATTTGTAATCATTTGCTCAAATGTTGTATTTATTATTATTTAGGAAGCGTGCAAAATAAAGTTCCTACACAATGAACAGTTCCTGTTTCACTTTGATATACTTTGTATTTTATGTGTTATTTTGTGAATTAAATTACTCAAATCAATGTTACACGTCTGAATTTACCCATTAAGATATCTGACATGACATCATATCAGTATATAATACCGATCTGCATAAATATTCATATATCTTATATTGTAAGCATAATTAAATAAAAGTAACCAATGTCAAAGGTCAGCTCACCTTTTTACTAGTTTCGCCAGTGCTACCTTCATTTCATTCATGGCAAAGTTCTGTCCAATGCAGTTCCTGTTGATTCGATTCGAAGCAAATGAAATTCAAACCAACAAAAATAATATAAACGTTGGAATTCGTTGATATAATATAATAATTGTAATATCGTTAAAATCATTCATTGTCATATTATCAAAGTTTTGGAAGAAACGTTGAATCTAAGAGCTAATAGCCTACAGTAAAATACGGTACACATGGGTAGAGGGGTATGGTGAGGGAAACCTCAAAACATGACAAACATGCTTTTAAAGTCACGCGATCAACCTAATAAAACAAACACGCTGTAATGTCGACGTCAATACTAAATTTAGCATACCGAATCACAAAATTTAATATTAGTTTGGATTTTTTCCCCTTATCACTTCAATAGCGATCAGTGTTCATAAACAATGGCTAACACAGGCTCCCTGACACTCCCTTCAATCCCAGGTTTGTCAGAAGTATGTAATTTAACACCATACGGAATACAGGTAGTACATTGTATTACAGGGTTAAACAAAACAATGTCTCGACTTTACATACCAATGCTAGAATTTAAATGTTGTTATGCCTTGACCGTTATTTTAGTATGTATACAGTATTGCAGTTTTATTTTGTTGTATATACACACAAACTAATTATGATGTTATACCTTGGCCCTGCTGAGAATGGTACAAAGCTATACGGATCTCTAGTGGAGTCATCCAGAAATCGATCCGGCCGAAATGTCTGTAACAGGATTACAATGGAATGATATAAAATACAGGAAGTCCATCGAATTTGAGACTGCGATTGACATAAACATCATCATTATTTTAATTTGTTTTTACTTTCAAGGATCGTATATCTCGGGTTGAGATTTCCGAGTTGCATCTTGAGGTTAGAAAATATTAGTTTGCTCTTCAACGTGTTTGAATGTTAGACGTTTTTAAATACCGTTGTAGTTTTAGAATTATTTGGAATGATTAATTAGTAAAATCAAATCGCATCATGACAAAAAAAACACATATTAAAGCTTGTTGGTACCTCAGGGTCCTTCCAGACATCTTCTCTGTGATTCATTGCATCGATAAGAATTGTGACTTGATTATTTGCCGGAATTATCAATCCGTCAATTTCGGTTTCGCGCGTTGTAACCCTGGAGATGAGAGGAACTGGAGTGTACATCCGTAAGCTTTCTTTTATAAACAATGGCAGTCTCTGTAGAGCCTGTATGTCCGACCTGAAATAATGAAAATTATACATCAAACAACACTTATCATAGTGAAACAATGAGGTAAGGTTTGTAACAATTTCGAGATAGACTGTTTTCTGCTGTGTAATGAGAATTAAATCTTCGAAATACATAGTATCAAAACGAATAATCATTAGAAATGCGAAGCAGGAAACATTTGTTTAAAAAAAGATAAACAATGATAATAATGATAATATACAACATTTATATAGCGCCCTATACAATTGTAAAATTACTCTAAAGCGCTTTACAGCATATGGATAATAGTATTAGTTATAATTGTGAAACAAAAAAACAAAGGCTTTCAATCACTTTTATACAATAAGCAAGCAGACGTCTTTGCAAAAAGCCTAAAATGCAGACATGAATAGGTGAGTTTTGATGTTCCTCTTGAATTTGGCCAGGGTATTTGACTTTCTTATAGCAGATTAACGTCAGAACTCCGGTCCTCTATACTATGCGGGAAGTAAGCGACCCGCGCCCGGATCGCACTTCAAACTGATATTTTAGAAACAAAATCGTCACTTTCACACACATGTCGCACATGGATCGAAAGATCTATTCTTTATGCACTAGGGGTATCAATAACATGTTTCAAAGATCATTACGAACAGTATTTTCCAATGTTTTCTATACCAACCCATGCTTTTAATAGAAATGATGGCATGAGCAATGTCACATCAATTGACGAGATCTTGCGTTACCGAAGGTATTTCCCAACGTTATGACGTAGGCCGGCGGGATTTTAGTCACGTGGCAAAAGAAGGCGGGGCTATCAAACAACTAGAGTAAAACAGAGTAAGTTTGAAAAAATATGTTTTAGTGGTTGTATTGGATGATTGAGGCATGCAATTTATGTTCATCTTGTGCATAAAGAATAGATCTTTCGATCCATGTGCGACATGCTTATTTCCCGCATATCATAGAGGGCCGGAGTTCTGACGTTAATCGACGACAGACCGATATAAAAAAGTCGATAAAAGGTCAGAATAATTCGGACTAAGCACATGTGTGATGTGCTTTCTCTTTCGAGTACGAGTAACCAGCCGTGATGCAGTGTTTTGGTCCCTTTGCAGACGACTAGTTAGTTTGTCAGATATACCACAGATCATGGCGTTACCAAAATCCAACCGAGAGGTAACAAGTGATTGCACCAAAATCCTGAATGCATCTGGAGTTATAAACTGCCGGATAAAGCCGTTGTTCCTGATCTAGTAGTTACAGGATTTGGCAATAGCGTTCACTTGTTTCGCCATGTCCAGTGAACTGTTAAAGTTTACCCCTAGGTTTTTAACAGCTGGGGCAGTCTCAATAGTTCTGGTACCGAACTTGAGATGGAGAACCATTGCTTGCTGACACTTTGGGGAAAAGACGATTGTTTCCGTCTTTTCCTGATTAAGTTTTAGCATGTTGGCGTTAATCAAGGTACTGATCTTTGTCATACAACCTTCTAGTTTTTGTGAAATTGAATCCCAACTATCCTGTGGTTTGATGACCATGTACAATTGTGTGTCATCGGCATAGCAATGATAGCGATGGCTATGGCGACAACACATCTCTTCGATCGGTTTGGAGTACAGGCAATACTTTCGTGGTCCTAACATCAGCTGGCGTCAAATGCAGCTGACGCGTCCAGCATGACAAGCACCAATCTGCACTTGTTATCAAATACAGAAACTATGTCATCATATACACGTAGGAGGGCCGTCTCAGTAGAGTGTCCCATGCAGATTGCAGGTTGTCGTGGAGACTGTTTGCATGGAGATGAACCTCTAAACTCCGGGGCACAACCTTCTCCAAGATCATAGACAGAAAAGGCAGATTTGATACTGGGCGGTAGTTCTAACATGTGCCTTCTTGAAACACAATGGAACCTTTGACTCAGCCAATGATTTGTTTATGATTGAGGTTATCAAAGGAAGTAGTGCTTCAAGACATTGCTATAATAGGTCTGTAGGCAGTGGATCAAGCTCACAGGACTACGATTGCGAGGTCATGATGATATTACGCAACTCGTCCAGGGTTGTTGGTGAGAGCTGTGTCAATAGTTCCCATCAAATTAAATGTCAGCAGTCATGACATCGATAAAGCAAGTCAACGAAAGTAAAGGTTTCCTGCTTCGTATGACCATTCGTCCCATTAGGACTCATCAATGAATTGTCTGCTAAAATAATTAAAAAAATCCTCAGTGTTACAAAATATGAACAAATATACCATATAAATGCATTAGTCGCTGTGATGATCGCTATATACAGGCTATAGTTTGTTTAACATACCATTCCACTTCCGGTTTGTCCCCAACTACGTGCATCACCTCGTCATATACCTTCTGTTGTTCTTCTAGATTCTGTGCAAGCAAATATGTGGCCCAACCAAGAGCGGCAGAGGTCGTATCATGACCTTGTTTGTAATGGAAAGAGAAAACGACGATTCAAGATATTGATAAATTGCAACCAAACACAATATCGGAATTCAATTTTGATTGTAGACGGAGGAACATATGTGACACCAAAACCTACTAAAATAAAGACAAATTAGAAGCTGTGGAAGGAGCAAGCGTTTTCTGGAGCGCGAACAAATGGTGGCATTTTGTATGAAAGCAAAGAATACAAAATTACATTCACACATTCACCATACCTTTCCCCAATCAATCAAGGTAATAAAAACATTAAAATACACGTTCCATATATGAAAATGCCTTTCTTGGTTGCCACTTCCCTGTTTCTCATTTTGAGGGCGTGATATTACTTGGATTTGACTAAACGAGCATGGCGAATGTCGTCAATGAAGCATAATACTTAAGCTTCTGGAACACTTTTTCTTATTATCCTTATATGTTTAAATGGTCTCCATTAAAAATATTTCCTTTTTCATATATTTGCTCTAGGTTTACCGATCTTGAGTTCAAATTACAGTTTTGTCGACACTTAGACATTCTCTTATTGCTGTTTTATTTGTCCTTCTATTTTAATGATAGGGAATGGGATGTAATAAAATTAATATCTATTTCCCGATGTACATAGTAAAACACTGACCAGCAAAGAGAAATGTGTCGACCTCGTCCCTGACCTCACGATCAGTCAGTCCCACACCTTGCTCGTCTCGTGCGGTCAGCAGAATATCGAGGAAATCTAGTCGATGTTTGTCTGACGCTAGTGGTTTGGATTCCTGTAGACGATAAAAGGCAGATTTTTTTTTTTTTTTTTTTTTTTTATAAACGTCGGTAAAAAGTCACTTCATCAATATATAAAGCATTACTAAATAATTCGGTATTTGTTTAGATTAATGGTCGTTACTACAGATCAATACATTGTGTTTACTTAGTTTTTTTGTGTCTTTGAAAGATGGATTGAAATATTGATTCAAATGTTGAAAAACAAATACCATAAATGTAAAACACACAAGTGTCTTGATCGATTTTAAAGTGCTTATGATTGCTTTGAATTTGCCAACCTACCAACGATGTCCTTCTGTCGCGTATGACCTTCTCGTCGAATTCGTGTATATATTTTGTATGCGAGAAATATTCTTTTCCGGCTGCTGACAACTTAAACAGGAAATCTGGATACAACCACGGCCTCCTGTGTCAGTAAATGGACATCAGAGAAAATTAATTTTGTTTTAAGTATATCCAGCATAAATAAACGACCATGTATCAGTTAATTGACAACGTCGGAATACTTATTCTGGTATCAGAATACATCAATACAATCAATATCAATTTCACGTAAGTAAATGAATCGGTTTCAAAAAACGTATTTTAAGTCTTTGTTATTCAACACTGACTTAAAAAAAAAAATCAAACGATGAACCATTTGATATTTTATCATATTTTCGGAGACGCAGGAAACTCCCTAATACTCGTCCAAAAAGACCGTGTCTATGCATTTCACTTGACGTCCTATTTAACTTATAATTTGCCGACATAATCTCATATGTCCACCGTTGCAAAAGTAATTATAATTACTGTATTAATTCTTACAACTAATATAATAGGATTTATTTGATTTTTATGACTCCGTACTTACAATGTTCTGTATGTAGTAAGGTAAGTTAATCGTCTTACGCCCTCAACATACGGATGCTGTTTGTTGCTAAAAACAAAAATAATAAAGCAGTGGATCTATAAAGTGGAATGCAAGATAAGTATTGGTCAATATTGTAATTACACATTTTAATAAAATGCAACCTATTAAAATGAAATTCATTACATTTCCAAAAAACTTTTAAATAACTTTTCTATACATATCTTAATCATAATAATCGAAGCAGATACATCTTAAAATCTTAATCCTCTAGATATGGTTTATTGATATCAAAGGAATTCAGTTTGGACAAATTCATTATATACGGTAAATATCTTGTATAGTTTGCTTTAAAACGAACACATATTCCTATATTAAGCCAATATAAAAACATTGAGTGAATCGCACATTATTAATCTCAACTTTAGAACTGATAACATCGCGAAAAAAGATTGCTTAAAATATAAATAACCACAGAGGGCAACGACAAACTTGCCAGATCATAAAATATGATAAAAGAATAGCAAATCAATAATGTCCGTATATGTGGTTTTGTTTTAAGTACTAGCAAGGTCTCAACAATGCTGCAAGAGATCGACAGGAAACACAAAGAGGCATTACCTTTGTTCCTGTATACGTGAATCGTATGAAAATGCTGATCTCAGCATGGTGTCAAGGGCCGCTAGTATGTACGGTTCTTGTACCTCTACACTTTGACCGCCAGCTGTTGCCTTTTCCATGATGTTCTAAAGCCGTACAAAACATTATGTAGAAGGGGAAACACGCTTGATATATACGTATATAAATATTTTATATTAAAGTTTATGGAGAACACTATTTCGCTTCCCTTTGCTATCAAAAAATAAGTCTTTATTTAAACTTATCATCAATATTACATGTAGACATCCATCAACGGTACATCAGAATGAAAACAACAAACAAACAAAAAGGTATCAATAAAACATAACAAAAAAAAAGAAACGAAGAAGTCGAACATAATTCACCACACAAACATTTCCGAAAGCAAATCATCAAGGAAAAAAAAAAGTCCTCATATAGCACCAATCATTTTACTCAATAGCAGCACAGCAACGACTGCAAATCTACAATTCTATTATAGCGGTAAATTGTAAAGAGAGAACGATTTGTTTTATAAACTCTGGCAATAAGCATGGTCCGAAACAGACTGGACTTGAAAATAAGACCTCAATGCGGTGAAATATTCTTGGACATTTTATGCTGCCGTTTGTGCTGAATACGATATCTAAGTCACCAGATTATGAAACGCTGCTGTTTTGAAAAATGTAAAAAATAAAAAAGGACAAAGATATCAATACAATCAATACCACCAGCATCATCAGACCGAAGTAATTGCGACAATAAACTATATATTTCAAATCTCAAAACAAAACAATTAACTGTCTTAATAGTTTCGAAAAATAAATCTTAAAATAGAAAAAAAAAATTACCGTAATTTGAGTGTAAACGTACCAGGAAGGTGTCAAAGACGTCATTATAAAGATCTACATAGGGCTTGAGTACATCAAAGTGGAAGGCAGGTGTCAGCAGGCGTCTATTTCTCTCCCACTTACGACCGTTACTTAAAACCAATCCATCACCTGTTTGGAAAGGAATCTGTTTTATTGAGCAAAATCATTCAGTTTTATGCAACTGTTATATGTAATTTTATTCAGAAAAGCGAACAGTTGAATCATTCAATTCGTTTTTCAAAAACACTTATTATTGTCTTATTAATGCAAGGTCATTTTAACAGTCATAATGTTGATTTCGAATCAATGCGATGTTTGTTTTTCATTTAATATACAACAAGATGATGGCAATAATTTACCAAAACGTTTTGATACTGACATTATTAATATAATATCTTGTACACAGTTGATTACAGTGTACGTCAATTTTACCAAAGTGATTTTCACCTTATCTTACTTTTGAAGATCAATTTTGTCTTGTTTTGGAATTGAACTGTAAATCATACCAACGGACTGTAATTGATTTAGTCAAAATCGAGTATTACATCCTTATTTTTGTTAAGCATAAAACGCTTAGTAAACCTACCTAACCATGGTGTTATGGTGTAATAAGCCTCTCCAAACCGCTTTGGTTTAGGTTCAGATGATCTCAGCAGAACCTTGGCTGTATCGGGGTGACACGTGGTCAGTATTGGGAAGAAGAACATTAGCCACACCCCACTGATCTTTTTACCGGTCTCCTGGATACCTGTCTTCACTAAACGTACGTAATCGGAAAATTCTGGTATCTGTTAAGCAAATATATGAAAATAAATGGAATTTACTTAATTTACATACAAAAATACAGTTTGATTTTCAGGTTTTAATACCTAGTAATTTGTTTACCATAAAAATGAAGAAAGCCATACATGTATAGTAAGCTAATTTGCAAGTTGTCCTGTTGATATTAGCATGAACGTTAATTGACATTAAATGAGACCCAAAATTAAACAAAATACCATGACAACCAACACTTCTGTTTAAACAACAGATTTGTCCTGGTCGGGAAATTGATTTAATTGATGTACGTTTCCGTGTCTAATTGCCTGATTAGAAACAATACTTTCATGATTATAATATGTTTAAGCTTATTTCTTGCATATAATATACATATTATTCTATTGTTGACATTTCATATATCAGTACAAGTTAATAAATATGATATTGTGCGACCTTACCAAGTGTAGATGACCCCAGATAGGGTGAAATCTTCCTATGGACATGACCTTCTCGGAATTATATAAATTAATATACATTCTGTAGGTTTGGATGATGGCGATTCCTTTCCATATCATTATACAGCTCAAGAGTGCACTTAAAACAAGAAAAACTAATTCCATGATGAATCTGAAATGGAAAAATCAGGCAAGTTCAATTGAAGTAAACATAAAACAGGATTACAAATTTCAAGAATATTCAGGTTCCAGTTTTAAATAGTTCAATGTCGTTTCCATTTATTAACAAGAGATGGGTAGATAATAAAAAGTTGTGTGCTTTCATTTTCGGTAGTCATATGTAACAAATAAAAAACACACAATAATTAAGAGTTGATTTACATGAGAGAGAAAAAAGGAATTGATTCGTTTTATAAACTCAGAGATGTGTGGTAGATAAAGTGAACTATTTTAATGTGATGTAGCATTTTATGGAAAAACGAAAGTTAAAAATGATGATAGAATGATTTAACTGTTCTTTCTGGGGCCAGGTTATCAACGTCTTATCAGCTAAATGACAATAACTTATAACAATATTAAGTTAATGTCAAAACGAATTGAACTCAAAAACTATCAAAATATACATAGTCTCAAATTAAGCATAAGAAGAAATAGACACATTTTCAAATGTTTTCATAAAAGTCAGTTTGAAAAAGTGCAAAAATGTAGAACCTGCATGAATAAACAACGACCCAATTAACATGTCTTAGTCAAACATATTAATATGTGTTTATTATGTAGAAAACAGGAAATGATGCTGACACTTTCATTAACAATAGCGATCGATAAACATGGCCTTGATCGCCATTAACAGTTTGTTACAGTACACAGTGAGCTAATACACGGTGTCTGTGGATTAGGAAATCCTCAAACTATGTAATATCAGTTAACAGTAAATTCTAAAAGTGAGACTTTTACTTTATATATGGGTTTTGATATACATAATTATGTACATGATTTACGTAAAATCAATAAAGCCTCACTATATGCTGCCAAAAATAACGATGCCAGGAATGATATTGAAGGGATGTGATAACAGCATTTACCCCAACAGTCATATAAACAATAACTCATTCTCAAGTCATCAATTAACCCTTATCATGGTAACTGCCATAGTTATAAAGCTAATACTTAGAATCTTATTCATATCGAAAGCCAAGTGTGGATGATACATGCAATTCGTTTCGTTATTAATCATAAAAGGCATAATTATATCAACCAATACTTTTCAACCGTTCTGGATTTTAACCTCTTACCTCACAAGTGTAAAGGTCAGCTTTGGTTAACTCGTATCAACATAAGGCCGTTAAGTGCATTGTTAAAAGCAGTTATTATAAGCGTACAATGTACGCCATGCATTGTATACATTAGTTTACTTACCCGCTTGATAAAGTGTGTCGTGAATTCAGTTTTCGATTGCTCAATAGTCGATCGGAAGGTACACTAGCCAGTAATACTGGCGACTAACGGCTGTCATGCTATTGATTTTTCTGCAGTTGTAGTTATTGTCCATGTTGGACAGTGGTCAGATAATACATGCCGTTATGATACTGTGTAAAGTCGGGACATGTGAACCACACAACAGATCATAGCGAGAGTACAGTATATAGCGTGAGGGTCAAGGTTGCGTCAACGAGTATGGTGTGTTTATGGTTTACTAATTATAACGCTATTTTAAGATCGCATTTTAAGCATATAAAAACATATTTATATATTGCAATAATCATGTTATTACTATTGACGTTAAAGTACATTTCATATATCGTTAAATTAATATAAGTATTTCAGTTGTTAAAAATGGAAGAGCGAAAAGGTCCCTCAAAATCTTACTTATTCCTTATACATGTAAGCTGGTAAATTTTTGACGTGAACGGAACATTTCAACAATTGTTTCTAATCTTTACTTGATAATTCATATGTGGCAGGGGTTAATTGATCATTACGGTGGTCTTTAGCATTGATTTCTAGGTGTGTGTGTAATCGCCAGTGTGCTCTCAGTCGGTAGAGCAGCGAGGGCTTACGTGTGGTTCCATATCCTTAGGAAGCACATTACTCTTTTTCCTGTAACACAGAATTACATGTGTACTCACTGGTCGGTTAATGTGAAATGCATTGGTTACGTTTGCGAGTACATTATGCTCACGAAATGATACAAAAACAATGACGCCTTCTTTTATTTTATTATTTATAATTTCATTTTGCAATCAGTATTTAACACGCTATAGAAAATATACATATTTTACAATCTTTGATAGTATTTTTTTATAAAAACGTTTTAAACGTTTTGTTTGTAGATCCAGAAGGCAAAACAAACTAAACATATTGCTAGGTAGTAGACATTCTGTGACAAAAATAATCCCATGAGCTAAACAGACAATAATTTGACATGAATCACGTGTGCATTAGATTATCATCCTTCTGGATTACAAGGATCCGTCTCTGTTTTTGTGAGCTCACGATAAATTTCCATTGTTAATGTCTCTTCTTATTTTTATCTTTTTTTTTGAATTTTGTCTTTCCATAAAAATGTATTCGACTCCGATTCGTTCTAATGATCTTTGCTATTCTTTCCATTTTTCTCTCGTATGTTTCGCTATGCTTTGGTATTTGAACACATTTTAATGGTGATTTCGTTTTTTTGGGTAATATTTGCAAAATGTCTCTTCCATCGGTATAATATACTGATACTAATGTAGTAAGGTGATTCGTTTAGGGTAGCGAAAAATACAAACTACATGTATCATAATTTAAAAACAAAACAAACAACAAAAGAGGGAAGACTCGCATTATATCTATTAACAATAGTCTTTTAAAATATGTATCACTCATATTACGATTTTCTACATATACATGGTGACACATGCCTGATAGTATCACATTTAATGTGATAGACTTTTTCACTCAGAATGTATATTATTTTTTATCTAAATAAACAAGTAATTACACATGAAGATTGTTTTCACTATATGAAGATATTCATGCATGGGTTGAAACACAATTGTCTTTGCTTCAAGGATACACTTCCTGTTTCCCCACTGGACGTCTACTTCCGGACGAAAAATAAAAAAGGCAAAGTGTAGAAAGGGGAAGCAACTCTGTTTACGCACGCATGTGTTACCATTAAAGAGCTTTGCTCGGGCGCCTACAGCACACAACAAACGGAACGAAAAGGTATCAATCGAAAATAAATGAGACCAGCATCTTGGATTGTCTGTAGTTTAATGAAATGTATATACTGTATCGATGTATCAATGTATCAATGTATATAATGTATCAATGTATATAATGTATCATTGATATAATGTATCAATGTATCAATGTATATAATGTATCAATGTTTATAATGTATCATTGATATAAAGTATCAATGTATATAATGCATCAATGTATATAATGTATCATTCATATAATGTATCAATGTGTCAGTGTATATAATGTATCATTCATGTAATGTATCAATGTGTCAGTGTATATAATGTATCATTCATATACTGTATCAATGTATATAATGTATTAATGTATCAATGTATATAATTTATCATTGATATAATGTATCAATATATATAATCAATGCATATTATGTATCAATGTATCAATGTACATAATGTATCAATGTTTATAATGTATCATCGATATAAAGTATCAATGTATATAATGCATCAATGTATATAATGTATCACTCATATAATGTATCATTCATATAATGTATCAATGCATATAATGTATCAATGTATCAATGTATATAATGTATCAATGTATATAATGTATCATTCATATAATGTATCATTCATATAATGTATCAATGCATATTATGTATCAATGTATCAATGTATATAATGTATCAATGTATATAATGTATTATTGATATAATGTATCAATGTATATAATGTATCAATGTAAATAGTGTATCATTCATATAATGTATCAATGTATATAATGTATCAATGTATATAATGTATCAATGAATGTTATGTATTAATGTATATAATGTGTCAGTGTATGTAATGTATCAATTTATATAATGTATCAATGTATATTGTGTATCAATGGATATTATGTATCAATGTATACAATGTATCAATGCATATTATGTATCAATGTATCAATGTATCTAATGTATCAATGTATATTATGTATCAATGTATATAATGTGTCAGTGTATGTAATGTATCAATCAATGTATATTGTGTATCAATGTATATAATGTATCAATGTATATAATGTATCAATGTATCAATGAATATAATGTATCAATGTATATAATGTATCAATGTATATCAGGTATCATACATATAATGTATCAATGTATATAATGTATCAATGTATATAATGTATCAATGTATATAATGTATCAATGTATCAATGAATATAACGTATCAATGTATATAATGTATCATTGTGTATAATGTATCAATGTGTCAGTGTATATAATGTATCATTCATATACAGTATCTAGGTATATAATGTATCAATGTATCAATGTATATAATGTATATAATGTATCATTGATATAATGTATCAATGTATATAATATATCAATGTATATAATGTATCAATGTATCAATGTACATAATGTATCAATGTATCAATGTATATAATGTATATAATGTTTCAATGTATATAATGTATCATTGATATAATGTATCAAGGTATATAATATATCAATGTATATAATGTATCAATGTATCAATGTATCAATGTATATAATGTATCACTCATATAATGTATCATCATTGATATAATGTATCAATGTATCAATGCATAATATTTATCAATGTATATAATGAATCAATGTATATAATGTATCATTCATATAATGTATCAATGTGTCAGTGTATATAATGATAGATTCATATACTGTATAAATGTATCAATGTATATAATGTATCAATGCATCAATGTATATAATGTATCACTCATATAATGTATCATTCATATAATGTATCAATGCATATTATGTATCAATGTATCAATGTATATAATGTATCATTGATATAATGTATCAATGTATCATCAATGTATATAATGTATCAATGTATATAACGTATCAATGTATCAATGTAAATAATGTATCATTGATATAATGTATCAATGTATCATCAATGTATATAATGTATCAATGTATATAACGTATCAATGTATCAATGTAAATAATGTATCATTGATATAATGTATCAATGTATATAATATATCAATGTATCAATGAATATAACGTATCAATGTATATAATGTACCATTCTGCCTAATGTATCAATGTGTCAGTGTATATAATGTATCATTCATATACTGTATCAATGTATATAATGTATCAATGTATCAATGAATATAACGTATCAATGTATATAATGTATCATTGTGTATAATGTATCAATGTGTCAGTGTATATAATGTTACAGTCATATACTGTATAAATGTATCAATGTATATAATGTATCAATGTATATAGTGTATCAATGTATCAATGAATATAACGTATCAATGTATATAATGTATCATTGTGTATAATGTATCAATGTGTCAGTGTATATAATGTTACATTCATATACTGTATAAATGTATCAATGTATATAATGTATCAATGTATCAATGTATATCATGTATCATTGATATAATGTATCAATGTATCAATGTATATTATGTATCACTCATATAATGTATCATTCATATATATAGTGTATCAATGTATATAATATATCAATGTATATAATGTATCAAGGTATCAATGTAGATAATGTATCACTCATATAATGTATCATTCATATATATAGTGTATCAATGTATATAATGTATCAATGCATCAATGTATATCATGTATCATTGATATAATGTTTATGTATCAATGTATATAATGTGTCATTCATATAATGTATCAATGTGTCAGTGTATATAATGTATCATTCATATACTGTATCAATGTATATAATGTATCAATGTATATTGTGTATCAATGTGTATAATGTTTCGATGTATATAGTGTATCAATGTATATAATGTATCAATGTATATAATGTATCAATGTATATTATGTATCAATACATAATATTTATCAATGTATATAATTATCATTGTATAAAATGTATCATTGATATAATGTATCAATGTATATAATATATCAATGTATATAATGTATCAAGGTATCAATGTATATAATGTATCACTCATATAATGTATCATTCATATAATGTATCAATGTGTCAGTGTATATAATGTTACATTCATATACTGTATAAATGTATCAATGTATATAATGTATCAATGTATCAATGTATATAATTATCATTGATATAATGTATCAATGTATCAATGTATATTATGTATCACTCATATAATGTATCATACATATAATGTATCAATGTAAATAATGTATCAATGTATATAATGTATCAATGAATATTATGTATCAATGTATATAATGTGTCAGTGTATGTAATGTATCAATTTATATAACGTATCAATGTATACAATTATCAATGCATATTATGTATCAATGTATATAATGTATCAATGTATATTGTGTATCAATGATCATACATATAATGTATCAATGTAAATAATGTATCAATGTATATAATGTATCAATGAATATAATGTATCATTCATATAATGTATCAATGTAT